TTTGTGGCTGGACTTTAAACAGCCTGTTCACTCACCATCCCTGGGTAGCTTGAAAGAGTTTTACTGAGAATCATGGGATGAATTTGCAGCATCCAGATGTTCAGGCTGACTGAGACCAACACTGGCTGAAGGCTGCAGCCAAAGGTGCATCTACTGAATACTGACCTGAAGAGGGTGATGCACTTATTTTGTATTTTTAATTCACTGATGTGAATCTTTTGTTTGGTGTAAATTCTTATCAACAAACTAAATGGAGCATGATGCAGCGTAGCAAAGCAATAAAAGGGAAGTTCTTTTTATAGGCGCAGTATCAGGCTGTAAATACTGTATTAGATCAAGTTCAGCTGCGTGGAACGAAAAATAAATCTACTAACGATCCATAAACTACAGGAATAATTGGTCATTTTCAGAGATTTAAATACCAACATGTGTCTCGTGTGCGTGGGCGTGTCTTGGCGGCACAAAGTTAACGTATCGTAAGAAAGGAGTCATTGTTGAAGCTTCACACTCTCGGAGCAGAAAACTGGAGCTGTGTGTGGGCGTGTTGGCATTATTAAAAGAAGCAGCAGATGTAAGATTGTTAAAAAAAACGATAGGCAGAGACGTCTCCTGAGATCGACGTTGTGTTTGTGTGTGTCGCGCAGAAATCGTGGACGGAAACGCCAAGATGACGCTGGGGATGATCTGGACCATCATCCTGCGCTTCGCCATCCAGGACATCTCCGTAGAAGGTACGAGTCTACATGGTTCCCCACGTTTCTGCTCTTAATTTGCATAAAAACATTCACGACCAGCAGCAGCGGCTAGAAGGGAGCTGCAGGATTAATTAGCCGACCGAGAGGGATCTTTGCAGGACTCTTAATTGGAAAGAATTAATCAATCTGGAGTGATTTAGGTGATTTTATAGCGGAGAGCAGCTGCAGAGGAAATAAAAAATAGTGTCAAAAAGGCAGTTTGTCATACGCTGGTGAAGGGTTTTCCTCACATTAGTCACACAGAGCTTCAGTTGCCAGTGTTTTGGTTCCTTTATTTTCAAGCAACTGATTCCTTTCTGCAACCAAATCTTTTTTTTTTTTAGGGGTTTGTTGCTCATTTTGCAGCACATGTGGCGCCTGCAGGTCAACAAACTCTAAATAAAATATTAAAAAATCGCAGAAAATATTGTTCTATTTGGCAGATTAGTTGGTGAATTTCTTCTTCTGTTAAGCACCAAAAACAAGTTGCATGTCATTTACTAAACATTCAGATGAATTGTGGGAAATGGAGTGAAAGTAACACATGAAGCCACGCGGTGAGAATTTATTATTTAAAACCTTTTTTTTTTTTGTGAGCCTTTTGCCCTCATTTTTCATAGAAGCAGATATAAAGAGGAATAACATGAGTTAAAGGCGGTTTAACGGACCGTGTGCTCACTGTGTTGCTGCTGGTATTTTTATTATTACGAGGTTATTATACACCGAAAGTCTGCCGCACAGTAACTTTCTCAGACTATTCCTGTTATAAATCACCTGTTACAAACCTCCTCTGGTTATCGAGTCCAGGTGGTTTGTTTTTATCAGGCAAGGAGGCAAATCATGAGTGAAACAAGAACATCAATTCACCATTTATTGATTTATTTCAGACACACAGGAGCATAAAGGCAAAAATAGAGAAATTAAATCTTAAAAATGGGGGAAAAAAACCCTCCAGCGCCTTAAAATATTGTCTGAACATTAGCAGGATGAAGTTGCATCTTATGATTAACTTTATAAACCTCTTAAGAAACCCAAAAAACAACTTCACTGTTCTACATTATTATATTTTTTAAGGAAATAGTTCTAAAGTTGTGCTAATTTGCGATCACGAAGCTGCTTCTTACTGATTAACGGCCTCAAAAACATGAACGATTCCGACTTTTTGGGGTTTGATCCTTAACAAACCCAAAGACAGTCTGACTTCCTGCGTCAATATTCTACTTTAGAATCATCTCAAACATACTCGGCTGAGTTATTCCACTATAAAAGCTCGTTATTGTGGAATTTAAAGCAGTTTTTTTAAGTTGCAGGCGAGCTGGTGTGCTGGAGCTGCACGTTCTAAAGGAAACAACAGCGCAGAGTTCGATTGTGTTTGTGGAGCAAACATCTAAAGTGGAGTTTTTAGAGGAATAATTAGTTGAATTCTTCTAATAAAATCATCACAGATTCCCGTTTAGACTCATCAGATCGTTTCCTTTTCATCCAGACGTCATAAAACTCAACAGATCCCGACTGATCCGAATCAGAAACGCTTTAAATCTTCGTTTGTTTCCTCGTTATTGGACCAGCTGATGGTTTAACATCTGCTCCCGTTTGTTGACTGTGGACTGATTCTTCTTCTTCCTCCGTCGGAGCTCTAACGACTCCTCTGGCTAATTAAAAGCGTCTGTGTTGAATTAGCTCGGCTGGGTGTGGCGGCCGCAGCTTTATTCTCCTTATTAGTGTTTGTTCATGTTTTAGCTCCGCCGATGAGCTTCATGTTTATCGCTCTGATGAACGGACGCAGCGGTTCGATCTCCACCTGAATGACTTTTAAAACATCTCCACTTCCTCCCTGCAGAGACGTCCGCCAAGGAGGGTCTTCTTCTGTGGTGCCAGAGGAAGACGGCGCCCTACAAGAACGTCAACGTGCAGAACTTCCACATCAGGTTCTCTGCTTTCTTTAGGGGTCGTCCTGCAGATTTAACATGTTTTAAAGGCACAAAGACGGTCGTTAAATCCTCCAAAGAGCTTTGAGGTCATCAGGAAACGTGTGACCAACGTTCAACAGATGTTCACAACGTCCGTTAAACGTCACACATGCAGGAATGTGCAGCTTTTGTGGCATTTCAGGAAACATTTTAACACATTTTTCGATGGATTCAGGTGATAAATGCTCAATTAAAGCTCACAGCAGTTTAATAGTCCCCAGATATGGGGTGTAATTCTGTAGAAAGGGCGCCACCTGTTGGACAAACGGGAACACGTTTTGCTGCTTTTTGTAAGAGTCGACTTAAGGCTGAGAAATGTGATGAGCTGTGCATGTTAGCAGCTCATAAAACACACAAACTATATGTAAACCATTTAATATTCTGTGTTTATGTGGAAGGAATCAGTTTTTAAAAGTGTAGAAATAAAACTGATTTATTTCTTTAGTTATTTTAAAATGTTGATTTGGTCAGACGTGGGTTTTTAGTTGCAAATTCATGCATTTATTTGAGGACAAACGTACTTTTAGAGCGTTTAAATGCAGCTGCAGATCAGATCAGCCTCGTAGGATGGATTTAACAGATGCCAGCAGCCTGTAGAAGCAGCAAGAACTCGACTAACCTGAGCTAACGTTGATGTTTTCTGCACCAGCTGGAAGGACGGCCTCGCCTTCAACGCTCTGATCCACAGACACAGACCGGATCTCATCGACTACGACAGTCTCAGAAAGGTGAACACGTTGACGCAAACCCAAATCCAGGACTTTCAGCAGCTTAGTTTTAAATTAGCAGCGATAAAAAACACTGCAAAGCTGATAGTTGGATTAAAAAATGGTGCTAATTTGAGCGTTTTGTGTGGGTTTTGTGTTCAGGACGACCCGGTAACCAACCTGGAAAACGCTTTCGAGGTGGCCGAGAAGTACCTGGACATCCCCAAGATGTTGGACGCAGAAGGTAGAGCTGAAGTTTACCTGTTTTATGTCACGTTTACACAGTTATCAACCAAATTATATGCAAAAAAAATAAAAAAAAAGCAACCGGCTGCGTATACATGCACACAGATGTTTGGTTTTTAAAGCTCCAGTATGCAGAAGCTTCCAGAAGCTTTTTATAATCCATAAAACAGGAGCTGTGATAATAAAAAAGAAAAAAAAAAGCTGTAGTCTGTGGCAGTTCAAGGTCTGTAAAAAGCTTTAATCACTGCATCAGGCTGCAGGAGGCGACGGTTGGACTGTGAACCTGTTTCATCTCAACCTGCAGCGTCTTTATCGGCTCAGTTTTCCAGATTTTTGTGTCTATTTGTGAATCTTTCAGGACTTTTTCTGTGGCTCCATCCTCCTCTAATGTCACTGTTGTTATAATAAAACCTGTCAGAAGTTGGAAAAGACGTTGAAAATGTTCAGTTTAATCAGAATAATTTCTCCTACACACATTGCTTCACTGCATCAGAACCTGATCGTAAACAGATATTTAATGTTAAAATAAAACTGCAATATCTAGAAAAAGTGCTTTTATTTTGATTCAATGTTTAAAATTTCAGACAGTTTTTGGTTAATCTGCTTCCTGTGGGGAAGAAACGCAACAACAGCCTCGTGTTTATTCGTATTTCTCTGCTTTCATGCAGAGTATTTCTTATTTTGTGGTTGTTTTTAGCTGCTGGCTGACTCTGCTGCAGTCACACTTCACTGCACACAATAAAATAAGTAGAAATAAATAAATTAGGGTGCATTTTTCTGTGTTTGTTTATCTTCTGTTAGTTTGTTTTGGGCGTTTTTAGAAATGGAGTTATGGAGCACACTGGGGTTTTTTTAAAAAATGTTTTTCTTCACTACATTTAGTTCAAAGTTTTTGTGTCTAAATTCTACAGATTTTTAAAGATATTTTTAATATATTAGATGATTTTTCCAAATCCAGCTCCGTGTTTCTACACTCCTGCATACTTTGGCTTTAAAACCCACATGAAAAGTGAATATTTACAGTTTCAGTTTGCTCTAAAAACCTCAATAAATTAAAACTTGAACCGTCTCTGCAGTGAGATCCTGTTGTGTGTGAAGCGGCTGCTGTTCCAGTTGTTCGGTGTCGACGTGCAGATTTTATTGTTTTAAATGAACTTTTTTCCAGCAGGTCTTTGTCGTCGTTCCTCCTCGTCTGTGTCCTCTGATGCTTTTATTGTAAAGCAGCTGTTTGAGTTCATGTGAATGTGACGACGTTCCTGCATCATAATCCTGATTGTTTTCCTCTTTAACGGATGTTTTTGATGCAGCTTTGAAACTGCAGACGTGTTGTGTTTGTGTGTCGTGTTTGTGTGTCGTCCTGCCTGTATAACGAGTTGTGTATCATGTGTAGTGTCCTGCCTGTATCACGTGTTGTGTATAACGTGTTGTGTATCACGTGTTGTGTATAACTGTGTTGTCCTGGCTGTTGTCGTCGGCTAACCTGGCTCTCCCCCTCCCAGACATTGTGAACACTGCTCGTCCAGATGAGAAAGCCATAATGACTTATGTGTCCAGTTTCTACCATGCATTCTCTGGAGCTCAGAAGGTATCATGTGACCTCCCACCTGACCCCCACCTGACCCCCCAAACAACCTCACCTGAGCTGCTGCTGCTACTAACCACCTCCAGCATGAGCTCTCTGTTCCTGCAGCTGCTAAACCTGCGACCGGGAAGCCGCTTCAGCTTCGACACAAACGCTACGGGAACGTAACCGAGCTGAAGCAGTGAACGTTGGACTGGTTTAGTTTAAAACGAGCCAGATGTTCAGATAAATGTCGAGAGATAAACTAGTTTCAGACACTTTTCTTCTCATTTATTTTTCCTTTTCACCCTGATTTTCTTCCTCCTCCAGTTGTTCCTCCTCTGATTTATTCTTCCTCCAGGTTTTTTTTTTATTGTTTTCATTTCTTTCTCTTTGTCTCTTTATTTTTTTCTCGTCCTCTTATTTTTCCTCTGATTTATTTTTTCTTCTATTCTCTATTTTTTTCTTTCTTTCACCTCTTCTCTGATTTCTTCTCCTCTTTCACCTCCTCTTAAAACATTCTGCTTTTTCCTCCTCGATTTATTTTATCCATCACCTCCTCTATGACCTGTTTTCCTCCTTTTTTTCCTCTTCCTTTTCCTCCTCTCTGATTTATTTCCTTCTCTCTCAGATTTTCCTCCTCTTCTCTGATTTCTTCTCCTTTCACCTCCTTTAAAATAAAATCAGTTTTGTCCTTCTTGATTTTTTTTATTTTAATCCTTTACCTCCTCTTTTTTCCTTTTCTTTCACCTCTTTCTCTCTGATTTCTTCTCTCCTTTGTCCTCCTTCACCTCCTCTGTGACCTGTTTCTCCTCCTTTTCTCTTATATTTTTCTTCCTCCTCTTTTATTGTCCCTCCTCCTCTCCACTTGTTTTTCTCATCGTCCTCTAGTCCTTTTCTTTCTGACCTTGTTTGTTCCTCTCCTCTAGTTTGTGTTCATGTTATTCTGAAACTCGTCCTGCTGCTCTGTGAATTATTTACATCCAGTCGGTAACTAAACGCTGAGACAAACTCCTAAACCTCCACGTTTACTGCTTCTGTCTGATTTGTTCGGAGACTTTCTGGACTTTATTCAGCAGCCGGTTTTGTTTGTGAGGATGAAGCTGAAACCTTCACTGAGCCGAACATGGAGGCTCAGTGCAGCTCGTCGAGCTTCATCCTGAGTAAACTCGTCGAGCGTTTGTGTCCGAGCTGAACCTTGGGCTCCTCCAGACGAGGACGGCGACTCCGTGGAGCTGCTCGGGGAGTTTTTCCGACTCCTGATCTGTAGCTTTGGGTGTCTTGGGCTTCACTCTGTCTCTCTGTGTTTCCTTCTGTCCTGCTGGCTGATGTTAGACATCGTGGGCACTCTGAGGCCGGATGAGAAGGCCATAATGACCTATGTGTCCTGCTTCTATCACGCCTTCTCTGGAGCTCAGAAGGTAAACTCCTCACGCTGCAGACTCACCGTAACGGCAGAGAAAAGCCCACAAAGCTGCAGAGTTCCCATCAGGCAGGAAGCAGAGTTTCAGTCCAGAGAGTGAGAAGACCAAATCAAATGGAAATAGTCTAGAAAGAAGGACAGGGACATGTTTCTGACAGGGAAGAAAAGTGAGTCGGACTTGTTCCTCTCACAGTTTATCAGTGTGACGTTAGTGTTTATACATTCTGGAAAACAAGTCTGCAAATGTGCAATAAAAAACCACGACAGCCGACAGACGAACCTCCGAGTGAACTTCTTCCTGCAACATCAGGCTTGTTTGTACATTTTTTAAAAATCCAGACATCAACGTCACCGATTTCTCTATAAACCATCACTGAGTCCGTCAGGAGAGTCGGCTGTTGGTGAATTAATTCTCATCTTTGTGACCTTTGTAGTGGATTATATTCAGTTTTTTAAAAGTTTTGGGCAAAAACCTGAATGCTAACGCACAAAAATGTCTAAAACCTGAATATTATCACAGAAAACCGTCAAAAATGTGAATGTGATTGCATCAAAACGTGTAAAACCTCATTTTTAATGTAGCAGAACGTCAAAAGCCTGCATGTTGCTGCAAAAAATGTGTACAACGTGAATATTAATGCAACATAACATAAAAAACCTGAATGTTATTGCACCAAAACGTCAAAAACGCAAATATTTTCATTCAAATAGTTTCAATACTTGGATGATTTTGCAGCAAAAGCATAAGAGACCTGAATGTTGCACCAAAAAATCAAAAACCTGAATATTGCGGCACAAAAACATCTAAAACTTGAATATCACTGCAAAAAAATTTATACAACTTGAATATTATTGCACCAAAACGTCAAAAACCCAAATATTAATGCACTAAAACCCAAATACTAGAATTTCAATGCACCAGAAAAATAAATACTTGGATGACTTTGCAGCAAAAACATAAAAGACCTGAATGTTGCACCAAAAAGTCAAAAACCTGGAAATGAATGAAACTAAATGTCAAAATCCTGAATATTACCGCAAAAAAACATGCACAACTTGAATATTATTGCACCAAACCGTCAAAAAACAGAATATGAAGAACCAAAAAGACAAATATTTGGATGATTTTGCAGCAAAACTTTAGAAGCCTGAATAATGATGCACGAAAAACGTCAAAAACCTGAATATTGTTGCACCAAAACATCAAATAATCTTGATTTCAGTGCACCAAAATGACAAATTCTTGGGTGATTTTGCAGCAAAACATCAAAAACCTGGAAATTAATGACGCTAAATGTCAACAACCTGAATATTCCTGCACAAAAAAGTATGCAACTTGAATATTATTGCAACAAAATATAAAAAAAACTTGAAAACAATGCACCATAATGTCAAAAAACTGAATATTAATGCATCAAAACATCCAAAAATCTCGATGCTACACATTTTAATGGCTGAGTTTAACAACATTAAGAAATAAAACATCATAAACTGTCAAAGTTAAAGAACTTCTCAGCTTCAAACACGACGACCGGCTTCAAGACTTCAGCGCGTTTGGTTCTCTTGTTGATGTAAAACATGAAATATTCTTTTTATTCTTGCTGTTTGCGTCGAAGTCACTCAGTCACAGTCAGAGGTTATTCACAGAACAGGCTCACGATGGGAACTCTGCAGAAATAAAACAAAAACACCAACTGCTTCTGTTTCGGGTCTTCTGGACGTCGACCGTGTTTCCCCAGAAATAATCTCCTCCTCGGTGGTTTCGTCTGTTCGTTCCAGACATTCTGCTGCTTCTGGCCTCCTGGTGTCTCTCTCAGGTTTCCACTCAGATCAGATCTGTTCATTCTGCTCTCGTGGAAAACTGTGAAAGATGCTTTTTGGGGTTTTTATTTCTGCGGGAAACGCCGGTCGAAGCCGCTCCAGCTCCTCTTCAGCTATTAACACTTCTCCATCCCACATGTTTGTTGTCATATCATTCACACACATGTTGTTTTTGACCTTTTTAAAATCGTATCAGACGTTTTTCTGGGAGGAGTGAAGGTTGTGTACTGTGTTTGTATTCCAGTAGTGTACAGACGTGGACTCCAGCGCGACACCAACCTGTAACTAGACGTTTGGACTGACGCATGGAGTTTTAAAACTGGTCTTAGCGACTAACCTTGAGCAGCATGTTGTCATCAGTCAGACTGAGAGAGTTTCACTGTTAGTGATCAGTTCTGTTCACTGCCTGTGTGTGGAGTGTGTTCGCACAACGTGTCCGGCTCAGTCGCACCAACAAGGATTTAACCGTCTGAACCCCGACACGGTGGAGCAGGAGTGTTTTTAACCACAAAAATAAAGTCCTGTACGTCTTTCTAGAAGGAGAAGGAGCTCGAATCACACAGAAATTAAAGCTGAATTTGTTTGATTCTATATTTTACAAAATGTTTTTAAAATGGAATCAACAGGTTTTTGTTCTTTTTCCACTAAATTTCATCTTTTCAGTTCAGTTCAGCCAGAAAACTCCACGAATTTTAGTTGCGTGACCGTCGGTAGCAGCTGAGTCGGTCGTGGATTCTCAGTTGCATGAGAGGACACAGAATTTTTTATTTTTTACAGAATTTAGTCGCTGAAGACCGTTTATTTTTGGTGGATTTTTAAAGGAGACATGTAGATAGATTTGGTTAATTTTTCCACAGAGGAAGAACCGTCGCACACGATTGGTTCAATGACTGTCAGAAAGCTAAAACAATTATTTATTTTCTTTGCACTTTCTTAATAAATGCTCTAATTTTGGCTTTTTTTTTTTTTTTAAAGACAACACGTTTTAAAGCCAGCAGCAGGTTTTTGGGGTTCAGACGGTTAAACTTGAACAAAGCTTGGCTTCACTTTATATGATGTTGACTTGAAAGTTAATCTTTTTTACTTCAGTTTTCACACTCGAGCTCAACTAAAGACTAAACTGTGATCCAGGTTTAACTTTAAACCAACGCTTGAGGAGGTTCAACTTGTAATTAAGCTGATAAATTCAACACGATGGTGAAGTTTAGTGAAGAAAACCAGTTTCACCGCGACTGTGCGGTCGTTTGATTTTTAATTTTCTATCATTTGGCCCGACTCTTACTTTTATTTAACTTTTTTTTAATAGAGGAGGACACGTTAGAACTTGTCCACAGAGACGTCACTAGCAGGAAAACTCACTTTCGTATTCGGTCCGAACACCAAACAGTTTTATTTAATTTAGAAAACATCCTCATATTCAGTAAACTACGTCAAGAAACTTGGAAATACTCAATGGGAATGAGTTCCTAGAGCTCTGCCTGCTTTTGTTTCTGCTAAACTGAGATTAGAACTAATCCTAGAAGATATTAATCCTTGTTGGTGCAGCCAGATGATGATTATTATTATTATTATTATCATTATTATTATTAGAGCAGTGGTGATGAAGGCTGAAGCACTAATGAAACCAGCAGACTCTTGTTCTAGTTTAGTGACTTTAGCGTGCAGCGTCCTGTTCAACGTAACCGTCCAATCCCTGCGAGCGCCACTCACCACTCTGCCCTCTGATAGGCCGAGACAGCCGCCAACCGTATCTGCAAAGTTCTGGCCGTGAACCAGGAGAACGAGCAGATGATGGAGGACTACGAGAAGCTGGCCAGTGACGTGAGTATCTCCATTTGACTGCGCTGTGGTTGTTCGAAGCCCGCCGGGTTAAAAACTGACGTCCTGGTCGTCCTGCAGCTCCTGGAGTGGATCCGTCGCACCATCCCCTGGCTGGAGAACCGGACCCAGGAGAAGACTGTGCAAGACATGCAGGCCAAGCAGGAGGACTTCAGAGACTACCGCTGTGTGCACAAACCACCCAAGGTTCGTCTCCCGTCCTGAAGTCTGGCAGAATCAGTGTTGAACCTGGAGTTAGCTGAACATGTTCTGAATCTGCTCTGTGACTTTGTGTTCAGGTCCAGGAGAAATGCCAGCTGGAGATCAGCTTCAACACTCTGCAGACCAAACTGAGACTCAGCAACAGACCTGCCTTCATGCCGTCAGAAGGACGCATGGTGTCGGTACGTGTACATACGTCGTCTGTCGTGTGTTACTCAGTGTTGTGACCTGGAGACGGTTTCATGTTCCTGATTAGTGCACGTGTTGGTAATGACGAGACTTCTGGCTGTTATTTTGTTTTTCTTCACTTCTGAAGCCAAACATCAACGTGCGTTTTGGAGTCCAGTCTCTCTGTAGTCAGATATGAAAGATGTTTCCTCCCGTTGGCATGTCTCGGTGTGAAGCTGCTGCCACATGAGTCACACTGATGCGTTTCAATACGATGATATGAAACGTCTGTCGTACGTTAACAGGAATGTTCTGGATCCAGTTCAGCTTCTCATTCATGTTTTCCTGAAACAGTTTGAGGAAAACAAACCCGTGGCAGTGATTTATTATTCAGCGTCTGTTCTGTTTGTCAGGACATTAACGGAGCTTGGCACACCCTGGAGGGAGCAGAGAAGGGCTACGAGGAGTGGATCCTCAGCGAGATCAGACGTCTGGAGAGACTCGAGCATCTGGCCGAGAAGTTCCACCAGAAGGCGGCGATTCACGAGTCCTGGACCGACGGTACGAGAGCGTCTCTCAGCAGACCGAGCATTTTAACGCACTTAAAGAAGCCCAGAGTAGTGAGTGAATGTGTCCACCTGTGCAGGTAAGGAGGCCATGCTCACCCAGAAAGACTACGAGACCTCCACCCTGTCGGAAGTCAAGGCGTTGCTACGGAAACACGAGGCCTTCGAGAGCGACCTGGCGGCTCATCAGGACCGAGTGGAGCAGATCGCCGCCATCGCTCAGGAGCTCAAGTAAGGACGGACACAGAGTAACCTTCATACGTCTTTACAGAAAAGCCTGTAAACGGACATGTTTCTAATGACTTTACGAAGCTTTTAATGGTCCTAATATGAAGTATTTTAAATTTATTTTGGCTAAAACTTACTTCTCTTTTACAACCTGATTTCTTTTTGCACTTTAGTCGACTCTGGTTGTTTTTATGATACAATACGAGAAGCATTTAGTAATTTGCAAAGTTATAGAAGCGAAACGGGAAACATTTAAGAAAGTACAAGTACTACGACTACTACTAGTTCAGATTGTCCAAGTTCCTCTGGATGTGGAAGTATTATTGTTGTTGCACATGTTTGTCCAAAAGTAGGAAAGTCGTGACAGATTCTTGCAAGAAATAGACAAAATATTTATAATCTACAGCTTTGAATGTGTTGAACTTGATTTGATTTTGCTCAGCGTCTTTAATGATCCGTCGTGTTCTTGTCCTCCAGTGAACTGGATTACTACGACTCGGCCAGCGTCAACGCTCGCTGTCAGAAGATCTGCGACCAGTGGGACACGCTGGGCTCTCTGACTCAGAGCCGCAAAGAGTCTCTGGAGGTTCGATTCTCGTCCGATTCAGTCGATGCTGCTGAAGGATGCGTCTGATTGTTGGCTTTTTTTTTTTGGCACCGTATTCACAAAACATCTGGCGCCATTTTTCAAGATTCAGATTTGTCTTGATAATGCTGCGTAACGTTTATGCTGAAATCGCAGCTTTTGCTTATTTCTAAATTTGAAATGACAACCTCAACGTATGATCAGCGTGTTTGATTGTATTTGATGACCAGACTTTGAGCTACTTCATAAAAATGACCATAAACATGAAATTAAACTGCGTCTTGTTTAAATTATCAGATTAGACTAATGGTCAAGTTTAGCTTTTTGTCAAATACGTTGTCAAAAACCAACATTTCAAACGCATCCCGAGCAAACATCTGTTCTGTTTTTAATTTCCCGTCTTTATTCCGTTGAAACGTCTCTAAACAAACCTCCTTGTGTCTGCGCCGCCGCCCCTCAGAGGACGGAGAAGCAGCTGGAGTCGATAGACGAGCTTTACCTGGAGTACGCCAAGAGAGCGGCGCCCTTCAACAACTGGATGGAGGGAGCCATGGAGGACCTGCAGGACATGTTCATCGTCCACAACATCGAGGAGATCCAGGTGAGAAATAAACAGATTACCTGAGACATAGAGGAGTTATTCCACCTTAAATCTTTAGCGTCTTCTGCTCAAGATTTCAAACTGATGCACTCTGAGTCTGAATTCAACCTGTTTCATTTTTCCTCCTCCAGGGTCTGATCACGGCTCACGAACAGTTCAAGTCGACTCTGACCGAAGCCAACAAGGAGCGGGAGGCCATCCAGGCCATCCAGGCCGAGGTGCAGAAGATCGCCCAGAGCAACGGCATCAAGCTGAGCGGAGCGAACCCCTACACCACCATCACACCGGAGAGCATCGACAGCAAGTGGGAGAAGGTTTGTCCCGTCTGCTTCTTATTTGTTCTCTAACTTTCATGGAGTTATCGCCTCTTTAAGTTTGTGCTTTAACACCTAAAACCACAGAAAGTAGATGCATCAGTCGTTCATTGTTATCTTTTTTAAAATAGAATTAAAATGTCAGTATGTGGGGTTGATTCATTCGATGATTGTTTCAGTTTGTGAAGTTTATCCGTTTTACAGATGATTTCTTTACACGTCAGACTTATGGAGTGTATTTTAAAGTTCATAACCATTGCTAGGATAAAAAAAGAACAAGACAACGTATTTCAAACCATTAATATCATGTCAAACATTGATTTGAAGTTAAATAAAAATATAAAACTAATTCATTTGGATCAAATTTTTCCAGATTTCTGTCATGATTTTGCTCCGTCGTCTTCGTTCTCAGGAGGCTGAATCATTTCCGTCTTCGTCCGGCTGCTGCAGCTTCGCTTTCTCCTGTTTTTAATCCTGTTTTTTCTACGTTTTTTTTCTTGCAGGCGATGGCGATGGTGCCTCTGCGAGACACCGCCCTGCAGGATGAGCTCAACAAGCAGAACTCCAACGACAATCTGAGAGCCACGTTCGCCACCCAGGCCAACACGGTCGGCGCCTACATCCAGGCCAAGATGGAGGTAACGGACCAGCTCCAGGGGGGAGGAGACGTTCAGCTGTTGGTCACAGTGTGGAAACCGACATGAGCTCACGGAGCACAGATTCGACAAGGATTAGGAGGGTTTCCACAGACTGGAGCAGATTTCTGCAGTTATTTGACGTGTTAGAGACGTTTTAAGAAGCAATAATAATGATTTTATTTATGAAAAGATAACAGCAACTGAAGCAGGATGTTTAGGAGGAACACTGAGCAAATAAAACAAAACAACAAAACAAAAGTAGAGAAAAAGGTTTAAACTAAAGATTCACTAAACAACAGTTAGTTTTTGCCTTATAGACATGTAGAATAAAGTGATTCTGATTAAATATCAGGATTTTAAACTGAGGTTTGGTTCATTTTCTTGACAGAGGAAGTTTCTAAAGATAAAAATCTGATCATTCTTTCTATAAATGATGTCGTTTTTAACAAATAACACGTGTTTGAGCCCCGCCGGAGGTTTTTTGGCGTCCAGAGGTTCAACAGGACTCTGTGTGTTTGCAGGAAATCGGCAGGATATCCATCGAGATGAACGGCACCCTGGAGGACCAGCTGACCAGCCTGAAGGACTACCAGAAGAACATCATGTCCTACATGCCCGAGATCAACAAGCTGGAGGGATGCCACCAGCTCATCCAGGAGGCCCTGATCTTCGACAACCAGTACACCTCGTACACGATGGAGGTAACGCAAACACACATGAATAAATGCTTCCTCCAGAGGCTTAAACCGAGGAGTTTTGACAGGACACAAAAGATAAACTGGTTTTTCTTTTTTCCTCTTGAGTTACACAAACCAGCTGACTGGTTCTAATAAAGCTGGAGATCAGTCTGACGCTGTGAAGTGTTTAACATTAAACGGTGAGAGCTCTCTAACCCCGACTCTCCCGTCCGTCCTGCAGCACCTCCGTGTCGGCTGGGAGCAGCTCCTCACCACCATCGCCAGAACCATCAACGAGGTGGAGAACCAGATCCTGACGCGCGACGCCAAAGGCATCAGCCAGGAGCAGCTGTACGAGTACCGGGCCTCCTTCAACCACTTCGACAAGGTCAGGGCTCGCTTCTACGCCGCTTTAGCGAGTCGGCGCTCGAATCGGGAGCTGAATGTTTCATAAAGAGTCGTAGCAGCTGATGTAAAGGCTTGTATTAGTAAATAAATACACTAATGTGAACTTTATTCATCTAGCAGCTTCTAGAAATAGAGTTTACAAGCTGCTTAGACGGACTAAAGGAGCAAAACGTGCACAGAAGAAGAAAAAAACTGCAAAAAACAGACTTTTAATACAACTATTAGAACAGAACAAACAGTAATTGGTGCAAATTCAATCATGAAAGCACCAAAAATAGAAACAGAGAGCGAGACAGACGTAAAAGTAAGTCGATGAAATGATGATTTTAGAAAAGGTTTTGCAGGTAGATTGTTCTAAACCAGTGCAGTCCTGATGTTTCGTGCTTCTAAAAACACACAAACCTGCCAACGTTTCCTAATTAAACACAAGACGATGCCGGACGTCCACCTCCAGCTCCCGACTCGAGCGTCCGCGTCGATGAAATGTCAGATTGTTGTGACCGTTTCTGTGTCGTTGTGTAACTCGACTGAATGGATGTTCAGACTTTATCCGGCGGTGAGAAAAGAGCCAAACGTGTGAGTATCGATGTTTACCAGCGGATGAGCACGGTTCACAGGGTGGAGTTCTGGTGTCGCACCGACGGTGACTGGTTCAGTGTTTTAATGTAAGGAACGGGCTCATGGTGTCCGGTTTAGCTTCTGGGCTGCACCTTTCTGATCCCACTCACGCAGACTGTCACTTAGTTTGGGTGTGAAAAGCTGAAAACGTCAGCGGGCCTGTGTGATGAGGAGAATCCATCGTCATCCATCGTCTCACATCACCGATCCACTCATCAGTGTTTTCATCATCTCAGTGTGTCTGAGCACAAAACCCAAAACGTTCATCCTGTTATAGAGCCACTATGAAGCTGTTAAATGTCTAAAACGACATGGCCGGCCCTCTAGTGGACGTTTAGAGATCGTAGAGGCCAAATAAAGACAACAAGAATCAACGTCTGGGACAAAACCAGCCGTTCAAACGCTTGATTAATTCATTTATGTTCATAATTTAGAGCTAACTGACGCCTCAGCGGTTTAAAAACAGACTAAACCTGATTCCTGCTCACAAACCTGAGCTCTGATTGACTCCTGCAGACAAATATGTTGTTTTGTGCTGCTTTATTATTTGTTAGAAAGCATTTTAGTTTTTGCACCAGTTCTGTTCCTCTGCAAACCTTTTAAAAAGAAATCTGTGTGCAGGTTAATGACATCATAACACCTGATTTCACTCTTTACAGGCTGGTTTTCGGTTTCTGCAGTAGCTGACGGAGACCAGGAGCTCCAGCAGTGATGAGGCGTTTAGGGAGCGTCTGTGAATTGTAGCTTCAGGACACAACCCTAGTTCGTCAGGCTGCAACGCCACGAGGATGTTTTAGTGCAAAGCGCTGCTGGAAACGAAGCCGTGATGTTCGAAACGCAGCAGCGAGGAGTCAGTAAAATCTGACACTGATTGTAATCTAATCACAGACAAACGGACTTTAATCCCAGATCGTCCTGATGAGTCTCTGAAAGATCAAGTTAGCTCCTGTTTACAGGAGGTGCTAACTAATTAGCATCTAAATTAAACCGTTAGCCGACTGCTTTATGTGGAACTGGAAGAAGTAGGTGCGTTCAGATCTTAACATCCTCTGAGTCTGGGTCTCGTTCTGACCCACGACCCCACAAACGTCAGATTATAAAGAAACTTAAACCATCATTTGAAGCATGAAACAGACTCTTCAAGTCAACAACAGAAGCCTCATTGTGTGTCTGGTCGTCATCTCATTGTCTAAACATCGCCCACCGTCTGTCTGTCTGTCTGTCCGTCCATCCCCCTGCATGCTGTGGACGTCCTGGCGGCGTCCCTCCTTCACCCTCTGCTGTCGGCTGTTTGGTCGATCAGGACCACAGCGGCGCCCTGATGGCCGAGGAGTTCAAGGCCTGTCTGATCAGTCTGGGCTACGACGTGGAGAACGACAAGCAGGTAGGACGAGACGACGGGACGGGAGGAGGGAGAGTCGGCGCCGGTCGGGAGTCCGAGCAGGAGAGCCGGAGCTCCGTCACAGGGTCCAGATCACACGATGTAAAGAGATTGTTGCACCAAATCAGACGTGATGCAGCTTCGACTGGTAGCAAAACTGTAAAACTTAGCAACAGTCTGGATCTAAAAAGTTTGAGCAACTTGTTTTCTCTAAAACTGAGTTAAAGCAGAAAAAGTTGACGGCGTGTAAAAGAAAAATCTGTTCCAGAGGAGTTCATGATCCATTAAATCAGTCATCTGCATAAAAACAGGAAGTATGAGAATTATTTTAACTTTTTTCTATTAGAATTAAACTTTTTTTAAATATAAAAATCCACATTTCTAAAACAAAAACAGGAGCTTTGTCTAAATATATTAAGAAAATTATTATTCTGTGCATTCATCCTGAAGGCTGCATCTGGATTACAATCAGTTTTTATATTATTTGCAGTATTAAATACACTTTACGTCTCTAAATTCACCTTAAATACAGTTTCTGGTTAAAATAAAGTGTGATGTGGCTTTAAAAAGATCAAAATAAATCTGTAGTTTTGAGATTTGTCAGCATATCACAGATAAAACTGGATAATTTATTCAAATTAAACAACAATTACGAGGCAAAACACGTAATATTTTATTTTATATTCACTTTAAAACAGGAATAATGTGTAAATATATTCTAAATATCTGATTTCCTACATGTAGTTCAAGGTTTGTAGCAAACCAAAGACCAAAACTAGATCATATATTCAGTTAAACAACAATTAAAAGCTCTGATTGTATTCTAAACTTGCTCCTCTGACTCATGCTAACAGCTTTAGCTCCACGTTTCTCTGTTGTGTTGATCAATTCGACCCTGACTGAGTGAAACCTTCCCGCCGAGTCGCTCTCCTGCTCCGAGGCTCCTGATCAGGAAGCCGTCGGTCCGTCGTCGGCATGAAGCCCAGAGAGGCGCCGTGTCCCCGTCCGACCACCGGGGGTCGCTGCTGCTTCCTTCTGCTTCGGCTCCAGCGTCTGTCCGTCCGTCCGTCCGTCTGTCGGGTTTTCTGTTGCTGCTGGACTTTCTCTGTTAACTGTTTGTGCTTCTTTCTTTTTTTTAATCTTCCTCTCCTCCCTCCATGTTCTCTCTCTCTGATATCTATGTTCCTCTTCCTCCTCTTCATCTTCCTCCTCTGTAAACTCACCTCCTCCTCCTCCTCCTCCTCCTCTTCGTCCTCCCGGCCTTTGCTGTGCTGTGGCGGCCTGCAGAAGCGATCGGGACAGATGGTGTCGGATGATTTCCGGGCTCTACTCATTTCTACAGGAAACAGCCTGGTACTGGTGCTGCTGCTGCCGCATGACGCTCCGTCAGGGTGTCTGCAGGTCCAACAGAACCGCTCAGAGTTAAACACGACCCAAAGGGGGCAGCTGGAGGACGCTCGCTGCTTTTAGTCATTTTCTATGAGACGCTGACTCACTGGACACGTCTCAGTCGTGTTTACTTTTGTTTATCGTGTAAAGTTTGACGTGTTTTGGGTTAAATGTGACTGAACGAATAAAAGTCTTTGGTGCACAGCAGGAGGTGATCAAGAAGGTCTCAGACGGTACCTGTAATGGTACCAATAAAAATCCAAACCGTGGTCCTTTAGTGCAGCGCTGCTCTGCTCCCAGGGCTCCTGCAACACTCCATACAGGCCACTCATGTGTTTTCATGTTTTTCTTTTCAAACGACGAAAAGTTTGTCCCAAAATTTAGCCGCAAAAGCACTTTTTTTTAAGTAAAAGTAGTGAAATATTTTCTCCTCTGAGTTATTTTATACAGAAACATGACGTGGAGAAGTAAGAGTTTAGAGGAAGCAGCGTCTGAGTCGTGTTTACTTTCTGTTTATTATGTAAAGTTTAGTGTTTTTTGATTTAGTGTGATTGGTATACAGCAGTAGGTGATCTAATAGTTGTCAGACGGTACCTGTGAAAATCAAAAACCTGATTTAAGTCCGTCTCCGTCCCAGTGGTCCTGTGGTGCAGTGCTGCTCTGCTCCAGGGCTCCTGCAACACTCCATACAGGCCACTCGTGTAAACAAGCTGCACCCAATCTCCTGATTTCAGCGACTTGAATTTCATTTCTGGGAGGAAAAGAATCTGCAGGGCGACACATCTAAAGACGGTTGTGTTGTTGGAGGTGATGTTGAGGCAGATGTTCTCAGACGTTCTAGTAGAACTCTGCTTCACAGTCATCAAGTTCATCCTGACAAACCACATGAAGGTTAAAGAAACCAACAACGATGCAAACTGCTGCTGCTTCTCCTGACGTTAGCCTCCGACCCTCCTCCTCATCTCCAGTAACGATCTGAAACATGTTTATGTTTGTTTCCTCTGTGGTTAAAGAATCAAACATGTTGAACAGTCTGAGGACTTTCTGATCACCTCGTCTACCAAAGTTCAGACCAGATGTTTTAATCGGACTCCTGCAGACATCCTGCCGTCTCTCCCTGTAGCTGCTTGCTTTAGTTCTTCCTGTTTTCTTTCTTCTGCACATCTCAGTCTGTAGACGTTCAGTGTTCGTCCTCGTGTCTCTGCTGATGTTAACCTCCATCAGGCTGCATGTGTCGAAACATCAGGACCTCGGCTTGGTCTACTTCCCGGAGAGTCCTGATGTTTCCTCATTTAACAGCATGCTGTGTTGTCCCAGACCGAGGCGCCTCTCTCTCTGCCGGGTTAACCTGCTGCTTCTCTGTTGCCAGGGCGACGGTGAGTTCGCCCGCATCATGGGCATCGTGGACCCGAACGGCAGCGGCGCAGTCACCTTCCAGGCCTTCATCGACTTCATGTCCAGGGAGACGACCGACACGGACACCGCCGACCAGGTCATCGCCTCCTTCAAGATCCTCGCCGGCGACAAGGTGAGGCGGCTCGGTTCTCGCTTCTGATTGGACGACAGTTAAGTTTGACCCTAAACTTAGTCGGAAAAGCAGATTTTTTAGTTTAGTTTGTGCAGATTGCATCATTTTTTTTTAGTTAACTCGAGTTTTTCTCATAACTTTTCCACTTTGCTGGTTTTAAAATGAGTTGTATAAAATAAACTTTAATATTTAACGTGTGTAACGATGAGCTCGTAGTTTTAAAACCTTCTGCTCTTGTTCTGTCAGAACTTCATCACGGCCGAGGAGCTGAGGAGGGAGCTTCCCCCGGACCAGGCCGAGTACTGCATCGCCCGCATGGCGCCCTACACGGGGCCCGACGGCGCCCCCGGGGCCCTGGACTACATGTCCTTCTCCACCGCCCTGTACGGAGAGAGCGACCTGTAGGGGGGCCGGAGGGGGGAGGAGGGCCGGAGGGGGAGAGTTTGCGGTTGCGGCGCCCCTGCGTGTGCCGGTGTAGAAATCCAGCTTGTTGATTGAACTGTAGTTAGGTTTCAGCCGAATGTTTTTCCAGCTCCGATCCGAGCGGGCGTCTCCGGGGGCAGCTGCAGGGTCCTTAGCTTCACCCTCTCTGCCTTTATCGTGGGGGAGGGACTTGTAGGGGAGGGAGGGAGGGACGGGG